CCCCCCCCCCCCGTTTCTTTTCTAAATATTGCAAACAAGGCGAGCTCGAGTTAACTGACAGTCATTCCATTTATCGAGTGAGCAATTATTTAAGAGGGTCGATGGTCATTCCTCGAGAACCGAGCGTGATAGGGCGCGCAACCCTTCCTCTCTTCCTCTCTCCGACTCAACAACTCTTCATTTACTCGCGATAATTTCGATAAATTTTTCTTTTCATCGTGAGCAATTATTTGTTCACACTCGAGCGATTGAATTATTTATGCTTCTGCTCTCTGCTCTCAGTCGATAATACAGGGGTGAACCAAAAATCATAATTTACAATATATATAATTTTTACAGTAATAATTATTATAATTCATTATAATAAATTTTGATATTTCGTTAAAGAAAAAAGAAAAGAATATTTATATTATTATATTATATTTATATTATATAAAAAAATTTTTATATTTATATTCGTCGAGTCATTTGCCTGTGAAAATCCTTTGCACATTGGACATGTACAATAGTAATCGCACACACGCGAATGACACCGTAGCGGGGCATACCGGAAATTTGATGCAGTCGACTAAGACCGCATTAGATACCCAATACTACCGCGTTCAATTTCCGCTTATCGACTGGAAATTGATCGATTTGTTATCGAGTAATAATTGATTGAACTCGGCAGACACCTGTTCCATGACGTAGCGACAGCATGAAATAATCAGGTAAGAAAATATTCATTCAAGAAGATATTCGTCTGACGTTACAGATACATTACAGATACATGTTGATTCTTTATTTCAGCTAGTGAGTGTCTTGAGAATTAACAACCGCCGAGCTGCGAAAACGAGTAACGAAATCTACAGTAACGTAACGTAAAAGATCCTGATAGAATCGGAAATATCGATTTTATGATCAAGAAACGGGGTCGTGGCTACTCGTTATTCGAACGCGTAACACATAGCGGTCAGTTCTTCACGCCGATCGTAAACCTAACCTAAGCCGGCTAAAGCAGGTGTGATCTAGTAATAAATTTAAAAATCTGCTTTATTTTTACT